AGGACCTGCAACAATGACCAAAGAAAAAGGAGAAAAAACTCAATGGATAAGGAAGTAGGAAATATTTTAAAGAATAAATTGATGTCATATATATATGTATAAATTCATTTTCTCAACAGTATTTTAAATTGTATACCATTGACTAAAATAATGATGCTATTGATCACATTAAATTATGCTCCATAGAGATGATTTACGGTTTGCTCCAGTAAAATGATACTTGGCTCTAAAGTGAACCAGGGACATATACATATATATAAATCATAGACATATGAATGGATTTTGAGCTCCCAGTTGTCCTTAGCTCATTATAAGAACAATTAGGTCTTGTGACATGGCCCTGATTGATATTCACTTTTATGAAGAGATCACTGAAGATATAAATGTGATAGCAAAATGTGGTGCAGAAATCAGATGGTGCTGGATATTAGAAAAATAGCATTTGGAGTCTTACAGTCTTATCTTAAAACAAGCAGCCATCTAAGTGAGGAGTCCACTAAGTCTACACTGAAGATCTTTTTACAGGGTTGAAAGAGCAAAGATGTCCCTTTGATGACTAAGCTGTGCTTGCCCAAGCCATGCTACCTTCAGTCATCTATGCGTGTGAAAGTTGGACAATGACGCATTTGGATTATGGTGCTGGCAAAGAACATTGAAAGGACCATGGACTTCTGGAGGAACAAACAAAGATGTGTTGAAAGAAGCACAGTCAAAGTGCTCCTTAGAAGGGAGACTTTGTGCGTATTAACAAGAGAGACCAGTCCCTGGTAAAGAGAGGGACATGTCTCGACCAGTCCCTGATAAAGATAGCATGCTTGGCAAAGAGGAGGGTTAGCAAAAAAAGAAGAAGCCTCTTGACATGATAGTTTGACACAGTGACTACAAATAGAAACTCAAACATAACAATTGTGAGGATGACCTAGGACCGGACAATGTGTCATTCCATTGTTCACAGGGTTGCTATAAGATGGAACCAACTGGAAAGCACTAATGACAACAACGCATGATGAGTCTCCACAGTTATAGCTTTCCCATAAAGTCTGGGGTCTGGTACCCAGGAACTTAGTCTTAGCTTCTCTTTCCTGTCTTAATCTCACCTCTAGCATAACATATTCTACACTAGTGATCTTCCTGGGATGCTATCTCTGTTCATTATAATTCCATCCTTACCGCCTTTGATCCAGAGGCATAGAATCTTAATAGATGGGCATATTTTTTGTCATATCTAATCTGCTAAAAGAAATCTGGGTTAAGTCTGTTGCTGCTGTTGTTGGGTGTCGTTAACTTTGTTCTGACTCACGGAAACCCGGGGATAAGGACAGCAGGCTGAGCCACTGTCGGATCCTGAGAAATCAGTCACTGCTATGTTTGAGCCCATTGCT